TCAAGTAGGACTCCCAGAGACCTGCCTTGGGACCATTCTGGTGATCTCTGAGAAAGGAGACACAGAGGAGTTGCATACTGGGGCAACATGTCTGTTTCAGTTCTGGTTATATTGAGTATGAATTTTCCAACAGCCCACTGTCTATGCTGGTACGGGGCTCGGAAGAAAGGCCTCAACACCTAAGGGACAGTGGGACCAAGACAGGGGTGATACATTGTGTCATGAGGTCTTCCCCTACCCCAGAAGAGCTGACACCTAACGCAGGGTGGTGGGGGTGGAACAAAAGCAACATTCAAAGAGCTCTCCATTGTTTTCAAGCATGTAATTTAGCTGGAAAAGGACCTGATACATCTAGTGTCCTGCAGCCTTATTCTATCCTCCAATAGGCTGGATGGCTGGTGTTACCCCCAAATTGACAATGGCAGAAATGGGGTTCAGCATGGAGACAGTGATAAGCTCATCAGTATGGAGTTGAGATTCCGAGTCAGGTCCAGCCGGTTCCTAAATCCTGTGCTTTTGCTACCTCAACCATTTTACCTTGACCTTCCAAAGACCACCCCTGTATTTGAAAATTTTCAGAATAATTAAGCTCACAGGCTCTCAAGTCAGGAAAGCACAGGTATAAATCCCAGTTTCATGATTAATCAGCAGTTTGTCATTCTCGTTTGCAAAGCAAAAGATAATTACTGGCTTCACAAGTGTGTCATGAGGATTGATTAAGATTAGGACATGGAAATCTCTTAGCACAGTAGCTGGAAGAGATTTTTTTTTTAACACATTTAATAATCTTTTATTTGTTAGTTATGTATGGAGAAGTTTAACCCAAACTGGACAGAGTACATTCTTTTCAAATACACATACAATATGGTCAGATTATTACTACATACTGTTACATTACTAAAAAACATATAGCTAACATATGCTAATATAAATATATATACTAATACAAACTGTATTACTATGTACCATTACATAAGTAACTTCCACTCACTTGAATGCAATAGAACTAGGAATAATAACCTTAACTCAGTCAAGGTGTTCAGCATTGCTATGTTTAAGTACTCTTAAATCATGGTTCTCAACCAGGGCCATTTTGCCCCCAGTGGATATTTGGCAATCTCTTGCCAAATTTGTGGTTGTCACAACCCAGGTTGCTACTGACATCTAGTAGGCAGAGGCAGAGATGCTGCTAAACATCCTACAGTGCACAGATCAACAAAGAGCTACTTGGTCTAAAATGCCAGTAATGCCAAAACTAGATTAGAGGCATCCATTTGTTTCTGCTTTATTGACACAGGGCCTCATATATTGCCTTATCTGGTCTCAAACAATCCTCCTATCTTAGCCTCCCAAGTAGCTGGGATCACAGGCACATGCCACTGCATCCAGAGACAGATTAGAGATGATCTAATCTAATTCATTCATTTTACAGAGGAGAAAATGGAAACCCAGAAAGAAAAAGGGCTTTGTGTCTCAAGGAAGGTTTGGATGGAGAGGAAGAAGACCCTGCAAATTCCAAGCTGGATGTCTAGAACCTTAGCAGTGAGGATGTTTCTGTATCCTTCTTGCTGTTTGTTCAGAGAGAAGTACTGGGGCAATTATTTTCTGACCTCTTTCAAGGGGAAAGAGGACAGTCAGTGGCGCCCTGGGTGAGAGCATCCTGGCCCAGTCCTCCTGGTGGTCATACTCCTACCCAGCCACATCTGACCCAATGAAGGGCAGTAATCAGGAATGTGTATGCAGCATTTTGTGAACATTATGTGACTTATTCTTCACAACAAGTAGTTCTGTCATCCTGTTGTGATCCATGAGGACTCTGAGGCCTAAGGAGGCTCCATGATTTGCCTGGGGTTACACAACAGAGGGATATGTGGAAACCAATGTGCTCCAAGGTTCACACTCCAACCTATCTCTCAAGACTGTTCAGTGAGACCCCAGCCTGGGCCTCCAAAACCCTCATTTCCTCTATGCTTACAGGAGCTGAGCAGGCTTCTTCTGAACATAGGGTTTGAGTTGCTAAAATCTCACTTAATGATGATCATGAGAAAACACATTTCCCTAGCAGAACTCACTCCCCAGATACACAAACAAAAACCATGGATCTGGGTGGATTCTCAGCCCTTTTGTTTTTCTGGAGACCAGAGACTGGGGTGTAAACAGCCTGAAGTCACACAGCAAGTTCGTGATGGGTCACCTGACTTGTCATCTGTTTCATATTTGGAAACAGAAAAGCAAAACTAAAGACACCAACTCTGAATTATGCCTTTTCAGGAGCGGAGAGGGGACTGACCTTCTGACAGTTTCCTTCTGATACAAAGACATTTGTATGAAGTGATTCCCCAAAAGATCTTGGAGAAAAGACCTTGGTTTCTTGTCTCCTCCCTCCCTCAGCTACAGCAAATGAGACTCTGGCTTGTTAAAATAGCAACTTAAAGGGGTAAGTAAAACTACAGAATGCAAAAAGAAAAGCTATTTGAAGATCCCCAGCCCAAAATGTTTCAATTCTGTAAATCTTAAGCCAGGACTCAAAGCTCCACTTTCCTTTTTAAAAAAGGAAAGAGGCAGAATGGTTCCCTGATTTCTATCTCACAGCAGCCATGTGCCAGCAAGAATGCTTTTGCTTCATTCATTAGTTTACAGCTTGTCTCATCCCAAAGGAATGTGGACAGTAGTGGGGAGCGGGCAGGAGAAGAAATCAGAGCATGGGCAAATGAATGTCACATACGAAAAGCCAGGAAACATCAGTAAACAGCAAGGAACCATTGTTACAATGAGCTGCCTAGTAGCCAAATCAATGAGGAAAATCAATACATTACAGGGCTTACATTGCCTGTAAGAGAAACAATATATATCTGATAATCAGAAAAAAAACAGATTTTCTTTGACATGATATGAAAAATAAACCTTTATTGTTTAAGACACTGAATGAGGCTGGGCGTGGTGGCTCATGCCTGTAATCCCAGCACTTTGGGAGGTCAAGGTGGACATATCATGAGATCAGGAGTTTGAGGCCAGCCTGACCAACATAGTGAAATCCGATCTCTACTTAAAAAAATACAAAACTTTAGCCAGATGTGGTAGTGGGCACCTGTAATCCCACCTACTTGGGGGGCTGAGGCAGGAGAATCACCTGAACCCAGGAGGTGGAGGTTGCAGTGAGCCAAGATTGCACCATTGCACTCCAGCCCAGGTGACAGGAGACTCCATCTCAAAGAAAAAAAGACGCTGAGTGAGATTTGGGGGGTTTGTCTATTGCAACAACTAGAATTAATTACCCTGCCCCCACTGCGCCACCTTCCCCAACCTCCCACAGATATTCAGCGTCTGTTGAATAGAATGAGCACCAACCCCACACCAGGTTCTCTGATCTCCAGGTGACGTCGTATAGTCTTGCTATTTGGTTGGGATGTTGGGCCTTTTATTTCCTAGACAAGGGAATAAATGCCTTGGTCATGTTGATGATTCATTGTCGTGAGGGAACTGTCCCCCGCACTGTAGAATGTTTCTCGGCAATCCTGGCCTCAGCCCACTCGTTGATAGCACCACCACCTTCATGTGTGACAACCAAAAATGCCCTCCACTATTAACAAAAGTTCCTGCAGCCAAAAGGGTCCCCAGTTGAGCTTCACTGCCCGAGGCCTATGATCTGAAAGGACATTTTCTATAACTTTCTCTGCCAACAACCCCTACAACCTACCACACACACTACAAATCCAAGATACAAAGATGGAACAGGGACAGGACAGCCACAATAAACACACCTGCTGGAAAGAATGGGACACACACAGGAGTCACAGATCCAGAGCTGCTCTGAAATCCTGCTGGGCTGATGTTCAGAAGGCCCTAGCTCTGGGTGAGGGGCTGTGAATCTCCTCTCAGGGAAGGTCAGCCTTGTCCACTGTTCTCATGACCCCTGGCTCCACCCTTTGGTCAGGGGTTGGGGAGGTTCTCCTTCCCACGATCTTCTTTGAACACTCCTTTGAGTTTAAAGGGTTTCCTTAATCTACTTTCTGTTATTTGGAGACTGATACCCCAGGGATTGCTTTAACTCTCGAAGATTATCCAGTCCAGACTCGAGGCTTCTTTGGTGTTGCATTTCGCTCAACAACTTAATAGGCTTCTGACATATTTGCTAGTGAACACAGTAAAGTTCTTTTAAACATACACTTCTGAAATCTGCCTTTTCCTTTGCATTTTCATCACCTTGTTTCTCTCTCTCTTCACCTAATAGCAGCTACCTTGAGGTTACATGGAAAAATCCATAAGAAGATCACACTTCCAATCTGATCTTTTGGGAGATGGCCTAAGTCATTTCCCAAACAGGAGATTTTACTGGGCCTTTGCCACGTAAATCCCTTTTAAATTCCATCTCTTATTGTGTGGAAACTAGAAATAGTCTGCTGTTTCAACTCCAAGGCCCCATATTTCCAGACTCTATTCTTAATTTATGCTTGCAACTTATCTAACAATTTCTTGAGCTCCTGTAATATTCCTAATAACTTGCCAAATACAGCTGTTGTACCATCACCCTATTTTCCTACTTCTTACTCTGAGACGATGAGTTCGGTGAGCCCAGTTTGCCCTTCTAGTCATCACAGGTGACAACTTTCCAAAACCTTGCCCCTGCGTAACCTGATCTCCACCTTTCCAGTGTACAGTTCAGTTTCCAATCACCTGTCTCTTGATAACTAAGCTAAAATCCATTCTTTAATGAAGCACTCTCACTACCAGTATCAATTTCTGCATTCAACTAATTGGCACTAGCTGCTAAAACATACAAATCCTGGAAATGTCAGTGGATTAATACAATAAAAGTTCATTACTCACTCATTCAAAACCCAATGAAGGTAAGGAAGACCTTTTTTTATCTTGGAGCTACAGAAAAGAAAATTGCTTCTAGACCTTAGGCAATAAAGGATGAGATTGTTACTAGGTCTTTATTTGAGGGATAAAGGCCCAGTAAACCTGGGTAAAGAGATCAGATTAAAGGTGTGCTTCCGGCTTACACAGTATGGCCGGCGATATTAGCTAGCGCTCGCTCTACTCTCTCTAACGGGGAAGCAGCGGAATACAAGAGGCTGAACTGTATCTGCCTCTATTTCCAAAAGACTCACGTTCAACTTTCGCTCACACAAAGCCGGGAAAATTTTATTAGTCCTTTTTTAAAAAAAGTTAATATAAAATTATAGCCAAAAAAAAAAGGAACCTGAACTTTAGTAACACAGCTGGAACAATCCGCAGCGGCGGCGGCAGCGGCGGGAGAAGAGGTTTAATTTAGTTGATTTTCTGTGGTTGTTGGTTGTTCGCTAGTCTCACGGTGATGGAAGCTGCACATTTTTTCGAAGGGACCGAGAAGCTGCTGGAGGTTTGGTTCTCCCGGCAGCAGCCCGACGCAAACCAAGGATCTGGGGATCTTCGCACTATCCCAAGATCTGAGTGGGACATACTTTTGAAGGATGTGCAATGTTCAATCATAAGTGTGACAAAAACTGACAAGCAGGAAGCTTATGTACTCAGTGAGAGTAGCATGTTTGTCTCCAAGAGACGTTTCATTTTGAAGACATGTGGTACCACCCTCTTGCTGAAAGCACTGGTTCCCCTGTTGAAGCTTGCTAGGGATTACAGTGGGTTTGACTCAATTCAAAGCTTCTTTTATTCTCGTAAGAATTTCATGAAGCCTTCTCACCAAGGGTACCCACACTGGAATTTCCAGGAAGAAATAGAGTTTCTTAATGCAATTTTCCCAAATGGAGCAGCATATTGTATGGGACGTATGAATTCTGACTGTTGGTACTTATATACTCTGGATTTCCCAGAGAGTCAGGTAATCAGTCAGCCAGATCAAACTTTGGAAATTCTGATGAGTGAGCTTGACCCAGCAGTTATGGACCAGTTCTACATGAAAGATGGTGTTACTGCAAAGGATGTCACTCGTGAGAGTGGAATTCGTGACCTGATACCAGGTTCTGTCATTGATGCCACAATGTTCAATCCTTGCGGGTATTCAATGAATGGAATGAAATCGGATGGAACTTACTGGACTATTCACATCACTCCAGAACCAGAATTTTCTTATGTTAGCTTTGAAACAAACTTAAGTCAGACCTCTTATGATGACCTGATCAGGAAAGTTGTAGAAGTCTTCAAACCAGGAAAATTTGTGACCACCTTGTTTGTTAATCAGAGTTCTAAATGTCGCACAGTGCTTTCTTCGCCCCAGAAGATTGAAGGTTTTAAGCGTCTTGATTGCCAGAGTGCTATGTTCAATGATTACAATTTTGTTTTTACCAGTTTTGCTAAGAAGCAGCAACAACAGCAGAGTTGATTAAGAAAAATGAAGAAAAAACGCAAAAAGAGAACACGCGTAGAAGGTGGTGGATGCTTTCTAGATGTCGATGCTGGGGGCAGTGCTTTCCATAACCACCACTGTGTAGTTGCAGAAAGCCCTAGATGTAATGATAGTGTAATCATTTTGAATTGTATGCATTATTATATCAAGGAGTTAGATATCTTGCATGAATGCTCTCTTCTGTGTTTAGGTATTCTCTGCCACTCTTGCTGTGAAATTGAAGTGCATGTAGAAAAAATCTTTTACTATATAAAACTTTATAACACTTGTGAAAGCAACTCAATTTGGTTTATGCACAGTGTAATATTTCTCCAAGTATCATCCAAAATTCCCCACAGACAAGGCTTTCGTCCTCATTAGGTGTTGGCCTCAGCCTAACCATCTGGGACTGTTCTATTGCTGCCAGAATTTTACATTGTTACCTCCACTTTCTAGAACATATTGTTTACTAATATTATTGAAACCAATTTCTACTTCATACAGATGTTTTTTGAAACCGCAATTAAAGTTCTTCCATGAGTCAAGTCCTTAAAAAATGATTCCAGTTACTCATTTTGCATATTTACTATTTTGACATTATTGGACCCTGCATTTGTAGTGCTTTGATTTCTTCCCTCTCCCTGGTGTCTCCCCCAAGACCCCAAATAAAGCAATACATTGTTAACAAAAAATAAAAAAATAAAATAAAGGTGTGCTTCCTCTCTCTTCACGGCCTTGGCAAACTCAGTGGGCACGTATTGTATATGGTGTAGCTCTAAGACAGAGAAGGACCATTCACGGGTATGGTCACTTGGTGCCCCATGAGCATCACCTCCCTCCAAGTGGCTTGTTCTGTACTGGCTTCCAAATATCAAAAGAAACATCAGTAAGCTTGGGAGCCGCTATGAACAGGGGAGTAGCTTCTGTAGAGAGCTGCAAACTGTGGGATGGGAGAAGCCAATTGTAGTAGACTATTATTGTTGACAAATACTATCCTTTCCTGAGAGAAAATTTCTCCTCCCCACCTCATTGGCATAGGCTATGGCCAGTGCCACATGAGTGAAGGCAATATGTGTCACTTCTGATAGAAACTTTCAGAAACTGGGTATGAAGACTCATATTCTCTTTTCCTTCAATCACCATGATCACCAATGTTTTAGACACAGTCTACTTTATCAACCTGAGCCCTGGAGTAAATACCGGTTGGAGTAGAGTAGAGTTGTTTTAGGCTGTGATTTATATATAGTATGAGCAGGAAATGAACCTATGTTCCCGAGAGCTCCTGAGATCTTGGAGTTGTTTGTCACTACAGCATAACCTAGCTTGCCCTGACTAATAACACCAGTGAAGGAACTGCAGGAGATTGACCCAAAGAAGAAAGAATATAGTTAGGAACAAGGTTGTTATTATCAACAACCTGAAGAACCAAGAGAAAAACTAACAGCAGATTTGCTCAAGTGTTGCTCCCAAACTGTGGAAATCACAGGGAAGTAGCTCAGTTTAAGGAATGACGTTCCAGAAGAATAATGAGCGACTAGTGATTGGAGTTAATTGCAGAGGTGCAAGCAGAGTCATTCATAAGAGAATGGGAGATGGCTCTAAGACCTCTCTCTTCCAGTGATAGCATGCTGTCATTACATGGAAAATCTGTATGAAAGGTAGCCTTTGGCCCAGGAGTTTCCACATGTCAGTGAGTGCTGTGGTCTGAATGTCTGCCTCCCACCAAAAAAAAAAAAAATGATACCTTGAGGTATAATCCCAAAGGCAATAGTATTAAAAAGTGGGGCCTTCTAGAGCTGATTACATCATGAGGGCAGAACCTTTGGGATTAGTGTTTTTATAAACAAGGCCCGAGGGAGCTGGTTTGTCCCTTCCTCCATGTAAGGATGCAGCAAGAAGTCACCATCTTTGAAAGAGAGAGCAAGCCTTCACCAGACACTGAATCTGCTGGTGCCTTGATCTTGGACTTCCCAGCCCCAAGAACTAAGACCAATAAATTTCTATCATTTATAAATTACCCAGTCTAAGATATTTTGCTATAGCAGCTATAATAGACTAAGACAGTGAGGAAGGTACAGAGACTTAGGACCATGAGTATCTCAGCTAAACCAAAGAACCCATACGGGAGGATGCCCAAAGGCCCAGGATGCAGTCCTTCTCAAGAAGTTTGACTGTGCTTTCTCCATTAAACACAGCTATACATTGGGCATTTGTGTCATTGTCCCCCTTCCTCTTTCTGTCTCTGTCCTTTCCTCTCTGTCTCTGATTCTCTGTATCCCGGTTTCCTTTTGTCCCTGGACCTCTGGCTTGTTATCCTCCTCTGTGTGTCTGGGTTACTGCATTTGTATTTCTTTTGCCACTGTATGTTCCTGCCTCCATCTCAGTCGGTCTCTCTGTTTCTGTGCATACTTTCACCTCTTTCCCAACCCTCCTTCCATCTCTCCCTTATACATATTGCCTCCATCAATAAATCAGTCAGACACCTTTTTATGAAAAATGCACCCCTAGGAAACTGGTTCTTGAATGTTTCTCTCTCATCATAGCTGGTACTAAAACCATATACTTGTTCGACTACATCTTCAGTTTCTGACTTATTTGTCTTTTTATTTTTTAAATCACTTTCTTTTTATCCTTCTAATGAAGTTTCTCCCCTAACCAGGCAGACATTACTCATCTCCAGCCCCAATGGCTGAAACCTTGTGCTCAACCTCTCCCCTCTAAATTCCAAAATTATTATCTCTGGCCCTGATTCCAGGGCAGCACTTTTCCTTCCTTTGACCCTGAGCTCTGTGTGCAGTTCCAGAAACATTCCCAGAAAGGCCATGCCAAGGGTGTGGCCACCATGCACTTCCTTGGATATGAAGGAATAAAATGTTCCTGGACACAGATGCCTGAATAGGATGCTTTATCCACTCCCGCCCCAAGGAGCCTGCCAGCCCTCTTCTAAAGCCACATCTCCTGCTCTTCCCCGACACTCACCCCTGGACATAGCTCATGGCTCCTGCTCACAACCCAGTAGGGGTCTTGGCTCTGACCCCCACTGACCAGACCTTCCAGAGAAAATATAGCACAGGCCCAGGAACTTGAGAACCTGGGCTCAACTTCAGCTCCAGCTCTGCCACTTATGTCACCCTTCTGGGTCTGTTTCAAAACTGAAGTAACAGTGCCTACCTGTCAAGGCTGTATGAGAATCAGCAAAGGTCATATACAAAAAGGTCCTGATACAGAGCTGGAATAAAGCTGGTGATGCTAAAACATTTATTCCCATTCTAGCATGGCATCATCATGGTCCCATGCCCCTCCTCATCTTTGGGAATGCCCTACAGCTAGGAGGCACAGAAGTTGCAATGCTGACTATTTACAGCCAGAATCCACTCTGGTGGGTCAGCAAGCATGCAGTTCTAGTTATTTACTTTGAATGCCCCATATCACCACCAGTGTAAGGCCGGTTGCCTTGCCAGGAGTCAAACGGACACATTCATCACTCTCCACGCCTGATAACTGCATCATCACCCGAGCTCATTATCTGGCTTCCCCACATAGCTTCCCCGCACCCACCTCTGCATACCATACCCAAGCCCACACTCAGCACTAAATTATCCATCCAACCTCCAGCCTGCTGTTAAAAAACCCTGCAGAAAAATTTTTAAAGAAGCCCCACCATACCCTGCCCGGCAACAGCCTGCCCTGTACGCCCCCCACAGGCCCACGTACCCAAGGTCCTACCAACCTACCAATCAATGGCAACTAGTTTCATGTACTTCCTACTTTAACTCCATGTACTTCCTGCTCCTCAACAGCCAATAGAAATGCCTTCTCTTTGTTTCCCCAGCAGTCAATCAGGGCCCACTTACCCAAGGTCCCGCCCGCCTACCAATGGCAGCTAGTTTCATGTACTTCCTACTTTAACTCCATGTACTTCCTACTCCTCAACAGCCAATAGAAATGTCTTCTCTTTTTTTCCCCAATACCCAGTCAATTGCCTGCCCTCCCGATAAAACCCCACACCCTGAACAGCCAGGCATGGCTTCTCTGGCCCCCCCTTGGACCACTGAACCTTGCCCGGGAGCTGAATAAATTAGCTTCTCACTTTCTTATACTTGCCTCAGTTTCCTCATTTTACCTTGGCAATAAATCTTACAACCACCAACACCAAAACTCCCTCATTTCCACCTTCACTTTCCCTACCATCTCCATCCATAAAATCAACTCAAAGCCCAAGCCAAACCACCCCCTCCTCCTCTCTAAACTCCCCTTGGATGCCTCCCAACCAGTGATCATCTGTCCACACCTTGAAGTTTTACTCACCATGCCACAAAGTATAATTCATGGTGTCTCCTCAACCACTTATTTAGCACTTACACTGCACCCTGGACTTGGGAAACTTGGCAATGAAAAAGACATAGTCTCTACCCTTGAGATAGTCACAGGCTAGTGGGTGGCAGCTCCAGGTAAATAAATCATGACAATGCAATGTGATAAGAATGCAGTAATGAAGATGTGGGCTGGACACACACTCAAAAGAAGGAACTCTAACTTTGCCTGGTGCTGCCACTGTGAATGCAGTTTGTAGCTAAGCCCTTTGCTCCTCCATAGCAAGAGCCACCCAAGTCAGCTCAGCACTAAAAATTAGTACTGTCCTCCTGAGAAGTACAACTACAACCATGGAAAAATGGTAACAGTCACCAACTTCAGATCTGAGTTGCCTCTGTATCTCCAAGTTCTGATAGAGTCTGGACCACAGAGTCGGTATCCAAGGAATAAGAGACTGCCTACACCCTCAGCCAGGCCTCACAGTTTAACTGTATTCTTTGTTAAAACTGAGTAATAATCTCAAGGCCAGAGAAGGGAGACGGGGCCCAACGAAATAATCTGGTTGACCAAGACGGACTACGCCTGGCTTGCTCAGAATTTCAGACACTCTGTCGCTACCAGGTGTATCTCTCTACCTCTGTGCTGGGTGCTCTCTATTGCTGAATCTCTGCCAACCCTCTCTCCACATGAGCACTACTCTCTCAACCAGAGCTTGTCACCTATCCAGAGACAGGTCTACTCCTATATTCTAACTGAAACCAAATGGCCATCAAATACAAAGTCCCAACTCTAGGCTATTTCAAGGAACTGCTTATAGCTTTGACAATGGGGCCACGTTCAACAAGATCTCATGTGTCTGGCAACATCATCTGCCTGGACCAGCACCAAGAACTAAGAAAAAAATTTTTAAATGCTTCTCTGTGAAGCCAAAATAGACACTGTCAAATCTGTGCACTCATGTACATTCCATGATTCACAGAGTTTTTTAGGACCACATACAGTGCCTAATGATTCCCACTTCTTTTCTATTTTTGGATATTAGATAAACAGAATTGGAATCATCACCACCCCAGATCATGTCACATTGTCATCAAGGTTCATGCCTGGACTGCTTTTTATTAAGTCAGTTAGTTAATTAGTTGCAATGTTGTAAGTACCTAGTAACCCATGACATAAAATGAAATCTAGGGCCTGGAAGGGCATCAGATGACACCACATGAAACCCC